TAGATATTCCACCAATTTTTCATTCTACAGACTTAAGCGAACTGTAATACTCTATTTTAGGATGCATGTAATTATTAATTGTACTAGTTCTTCAGGGTGAATATTCAATTCTATACCTGTGGATCCCAATCTGTGGTTCAGGTGTCATGATTTTTCCATAAGATTCCTGAAGGTAGTGTTTCCTGTACAGACACAATATATATATGCATTGAGCCATAGGTCTTATATGATCACATGATCCATATCTATTTATATATGTTTCACACTTTCAACCTCATTTGTTTTTGGTGTTCTTTCCAAGGATTAGAAAGAACACCAAAAGATTGTTCACTCAGTGAACAAAATATCATGAGTTTTTATAAACTCAGGATATAGTAAGCATTTTTTTAAAAATAATTGTATATTGCTGTCTCTTACTTTATGATCTTATCTTCATAACTTGTGGTGACAACATACTATTCCAGCTAATGAATATCTGAACTAATGAATATTTGAATGGGAGATGAGCAGCCAGATAATACTGTATTTGTAGAGCAGGCTGGGAATTAAAGAAAAAGTGTGCTGGAAAAAGACAAGGACAAACTATTTTCTTTTTTACCCCCCCCCCCAAAAAAATGTCATTTGAGTCGATGGGCACTGGCATAATACAAGAACTTTGTTTCTTCTTTTTCTTTTCTGTCCAAATTAAAGGATGATTTGAGAACCTCTAATCTCTGATTTTATAGATCATATAGAATTAAGAAGAATCAAGTTCTAATTAAAATTTAAACCAACAATGACATTCTTTACCAATGATTGTGTAACACTCAAGAACCAAACTTTTGATTGGCTCAGGTCAGTGTAGCTGTGAATAAATGCAGACATTTTTTCCACATTATCTGCCATATTCCCAGCCTTATCTTCCATGAAAACCTGAAAGTAAGTGAAAGCAAAGAAGCTTCAGCAAACAAAGAAAGATTTGTGAATGGATCAGATATTCTACCATCAAAGCCACTTAGGGTGGGTGTTTGTAAAATCGACTAAGGTTCTCCATGTAGAACACAGAAACATAATAAAAAACAGATTTCAGACTAATATACATTTCTTATCTTGACAGTAAAATTATGTGGTTACTTTTGCTTCTCCTCTCCACTTAATTTTCAAAATAAAAATACTGATGTTTCTTTCGTTTTCATACTCCATAGGAAGGCATTAACCTAGAAGAGTTTAAATGAATTATCTTGGTTTGCACCTGAGAGTCAGGACTTCTGCTTCTGTTACTAAAGTCTTACGTTGATCATCACAGTTTCTTCTCCATGTTTTGGAAAAATGGGAAAAGTCCAAATTGTCTATATTGTAATAAATTTGAACATTTTAGAAAGGGCTGTATTTCAAAGAATAACTTCCCTTCCCTTTGTACTTTCTTTATGCCAATCCTTAAAGATACCATTAAGAAAAATCTGCATTTTCATATCGGCATGATCAAACTGCTAAACAGTGGCGAGAGCTCAGAATGAATAACAGCTGGCACTCACTCAGAAAGTAATTTTCCAAAATGTGGAATGCATAGATGACAAATTCCTTCACTTTTCTTCCAGATATGGATGACTGTATTGAATGTTCAGAAGATCATTTTCCAAATAAAGAAAAGAAAGGATGTATTCAGAAAGTGGTGGTCTTTCTCACTTTTGAAGAAGTATTAGGAATTGGTTTAGCCTCCACTGTTCTTTGTTTCTTCTCCCTGACATCCTGGGTTCTTGGAACTTTTATTAAGCACAGGGATACTCCCATTGTTAAAGCTAACAACCGGGCCCTCACCTACACCCTCCTTGTCTCTCTTCTGCTCTGTTTCCTTTCCTCCTTCTTCTTCCTCAGCCAACCTGGCCAAGTGACCTGCCAACTCCGACAATCCACATTTGGCATCACCTTCTCAGTGGCCATTTCTAGTGTCCTGGCCAAAACCATCACAGTGGTGGTCGCTTTCATGGCCACGAAACCAGGATCTCTGATGAGGAAATGGGTGGGGAAAAGATTGGCCTTTTCTACTGTCCTTTCCTGCTCTCTCGTCCAAGTCTGTATTTGTGCTCTTTGGTTGTCAACAGCTCCCCCATTCCCTGTGTTAGACATGCTCTCAGAAGCCAAAGAAATGTTTTTGCAATGCAATGAGGGGTCAGCATCCTTCTTATACTGCATCTTGGGCTACATGGGGATCTTGGCCTTTGCCAGCTTTATCATGGCCTTTCTTGCCCGTAAATTGCCTGACAGCTTTAATGAAGCCAAGCTCATCACCTTCAGCATGTTGGCCTTCTGCAGTGTGTGGGTCTCCTTTTTTCCAGCCTATCTGAGCACAAAAGGAAAGGCCATGGTAGCCGTGGAGGTCTTCTCCATCCTGTCCTCCAGCACTGCATTAGTAGGGTGCATATTTTTGCCAAAATGCTACATCATTGTTTTCAGGCCTGAGCTCAACCACAGAGAGCAACTAATAAAGAGGAATTAGAATATCACGTGATCTTTCTCATTCTCACAAAAAAAAAGAAAGAAAGAGAGAAAGAGAAAAGAGAAGAGAAGAGAAGAGAAAAAGAAAGAAAAAGAAAAAGAAAAAGAAAAAGAAAAAGAAAAAGAAAAAGAAAAAGAAAAAGAAAAAGAAAAAAAGAAAAACACTGCTGACTACAGCAAACATAAAGAAGTTGCTATTTCTGTCAAGGATTATTTATGGAGGATTAAAATGATTATTTTTAAGGTCTATTAAGAATGCCCATTCCCAAAAAGTGCTCAGAGTGCTGCATTTTCAACCATTCTCCAAGGTTCTTTCACGTAACCCTTTCTGCCTTTCAACCCACCAAGCTTATAGGATTTTGAGAATCTAGGTCTCTTGGTTACTGTTAGGGAATTTGATATATTCACTCAAAGGATGTCCAGTATTTGCAGCTGCCACTGTCATTCTTTTATACTTTCAGTTCATAAATCGCTGTATTAGCATGGGAAATAAACTCAACTTTTTATGGACATGTTTTTAACACAGTATCCTAGGGGATCCATTTTGGATTGGTTATGGTTCCTTGAAATATAAAAGTTATAGAGATTCTGAAATTTTTTTACAACTGTATTTAAACAAAGGTTTCATACTGGGTCATAAACATTCACTCTCTACCCATCATTCTATTTCTACTGTAAACTCTTATCAGATTTTCATAATATTGAAAATTTAATGAAAAGAAATGTATGCTTCCTTCTGTCTCATTTTCCGGGGGCAGGGGGATGGTATGTACTGCTGTCCTTGATCATGTAAGCCGAGCATTTCCAAGATTACAGTGGCTGTAGCATATACCAGTTCACTGGTTTGAGTTATGGGGGTAGTAGGGATTGTTGTGAGGGCTCTATTGGCACTTCAATTGCACTGTTGTAGCTGCCAATCTTGACCTTTT